TACTTGCAAGAGATCTTATTCCTACTTGCAAGTAGGAATAAGAGATCCTCCGGAAAAGGGCTTTATTCCGGAGGATCGCGCCAGTCTAGATGCTCTTTTCCGGCTTTTCCCCAAGCCGGAAAAAAAGCGGCAGCCATGTTTATTTAAATCCCGCGGGGGATATTTAAATCCCCCGCGGATTTCCCTATTCTGACTTGCCTGCTTTGCATGCCTCTTCCAGAGAAGGGGCCAGTCTAGACGTAGCCATAGAGTCTAGAGGAGCCCAGTGCCTGAGGTTGCATTCCTAGATATCTTGGCTAATAGCCATTGATGGCCCTACCTTCTATGAACTCATTTAATTCTTTTTTTAGTCTGATTATAATTTTGGCCTTCACAGCATCCTCTAGCAACAGGTTCTGCAGGTTGACTGTGTTGTGTAAAGAAATACTTCCTTCTGTTTGTTTTAAACCTGTTGCCTATTAATTTCATTTAGTGATCCCTGGCGCTTGAGTTACATGAAGGAGTAAAGAACACTTCCTTGTTCATTTTTGACATACCATTCACAATTGTATAGACCTCTATCAAATCCTCTTAGTTGTCTCTTTTCTAAGCTAAAAAGTCCCAGTCTTTTTATAATCGCTCCTCATCTTGAAGCTGTTCCATACTATTAATCATTTCTGTACCTTTTCCAGTTCTGATATATTTGTTTTGAGAGGGGGTGATCCAAGTCGCAAACAGTGCTCCAAGTGTGCCTTGCAAGAGATGCTCACAATCATTCATGATCAGGTTGTTGGGCACTTATTCAACAAAGGATGGAAACATGTTCCTAACTTTAACATGTGAGTCACCCTATTGACTGGCGAGAACTTAACTCAGCAGGAGGGATAAAAATATTTTAACAACGTTATATGACATTTCCAAAGCTCAGATAAAGCTGTGAGAACAGAGAGGAAGGAAGACATGCAAAATAGCAATTAGAGATTGTGCTCTGGTTGTAAGTGGAATGGCTCATGTGAGTGAGGGGAGTGGAATTGGCCTGTGTTGTTCTTTATCTCATTGTAACTGTATAATTGGCATCGCTTTAGTGTCTACTGTACTAACAAAGACTTTGCACTTCCTTGGTATACTCTACTACAGAACTTATCATCACACTCACACTTTGTCTTCCACTCCCTAACTCTCAGCCCAACAAACACACACTCTATCAAGAGATCTCTTGTTCCATGAAAGAGTTTCTCCTGTAGAGTGTCATTTCCCATAGAGCTGGTTCCTAAGGCTGAAGTTAGGTCTTGTTGAACCAGAACCGCCTGAAAGGAATTAAATTCACAATATTCCAAGCCAATCTACTCCCTGACAAAGTCAAATCAAATGCTAGAAGGGTGAATTCTTCCTTCCATCCCTCTGAAATAGCTCCAATGCAGTTTACTGTAGTCAGGGATCTACATGTGAACAGTGAAGATTTCATACCAAGAGTGTAAATTCAGCCCTTGTGTCCTAAGCCAGAATTTCCCTAACCCCACTGTAGTGCAGCAGGATGTGTGCCAATAGGCTGACCCCATTTGCCTTAGGAATGGCTACATTTCAACAGTGCTATATATAGATATTCTTTACGTGAGGTAGGATCCTTCCGAAAGAAAGGCATTACCTGTAAAAATAAAATATGATGATGATGTATTATTGTTTTCTTGCAAGCAGCAAATATAAACTCAAGAGCAAATGGAAAAAAAATAGTTATACCGGACAAATAAATACATGGCACACCTCCACAGAATAGTGACAATGACGTAACAAATTTTCTTAATTCAGATGAAACAAGCACTTGCTTGAAGGTTCAGGGTATGCACTGAACAAGTTTCTCCTCTTTTGTCATTGAAACTCATGCCATCCTTCTGACCTGGGAGTGACCTCTCACCAGAAGTCCTCTTGAGTCTGCATTCTGGTCAGCAGGTCTCCAGCTGAGTCTTTTCAATATGACAACATACATCTCATTGTAGTTCTGGCTACTGTAGCATTTGCATCTGAATGCAGAAGATTTTTCTTCCCCGCATCCTACCTCCTTCCCCACAACCACTAGTCAACTTGAGGTCATTCTCTGCTTATTTTGGTCTGTCACTACTGTGTGACCTGGATACCATGGTGCACTGTAATACTTCGCAATAAGGGCAGCTATTGTGTAAACCACACTCTTGGAGAAAATGTTTCAACATCTGCTTGTCAACATGTGCCTTGTATGTGGCTTTTGGTTTGTGCAGTGTCATATGCCAGTGGTTTGCTATCATTTCAGCTATCTGGTTTGTGGCAGGGGCGGCCCCCCCCCCCCCCCCCCCCCACCACAAAGCCCTTCCTGGATTATTTAAAACATGGGAATGGGGACAGTGGAAGAGACAAAGGGCTTTCCCCAAATCCCTGTCCCCTCTGACTGTGATCTGCTAGCTTCTCACTTGCAGATTCCAGCCCTGTGGAAAGGTCTCTATGAGGTCCCCAACCCCACCTTCTGCACAGCAAGCAAGGCCCTTACATGAAACCTACCCCTAACCCTGGACTTCAGAGCCTGAACTCCAGCCGGAGTCAGGAATGGTCACACAGCTATTTTTAGCACCACAGTCTGAGCCCCACAGGCCCAAGTCTGTAGACCTGGACTCTGAGACTCTTTGCCAGGGGGTGGGTTTTGCCATGTAGACATACCTAATAGGCCTTGTTTCAGGTGCGGCTCCTCAGCTGTCTCTTACAACTATCCTAAAGGATGGAAGTGTTCACACATCAGTGTGAATGAGGTTTTACCCAGCACAAGGTTTCATCACTTGACAGTGTTGCAGGGAGGGGCCACATCTGGTTCCACAGAGTTTGTTGGGCTCCACTGTAAGGAGAGAAACCAATGCTGTAGCACTAGTCTGTTCTTTCATGGCATCGGGGTGCTGACCAATCCCTTCCCTGTCAGCACCTCTGCCTTTGCTTCTCTCGCTGTCCACATGGCAAAGTTCAGCACTTACAAGTTATCAGGTATTAGCAGAGCAGCCTTTCTCAACCAGTCAGCTGGAGCTCCAGAGTGAATCACAACAACCCCATTTTAATGAGGTCACAAAGGCTGGCTTAGATTTGCTGGATCCAGGGCCAAAATTGAACCCGAGCTCCACCACCTGAGGCCAGGGTCAAAGCCTGAGTCCCACTGCCCAGGGTTGAGCCAGAAGCCTAAAGGTTTTAGCCTGGGGTTCAGGTTACAGATGCCCTCTGGGTCTGAAACCCTTGGTCTTCTGCTTTGAGCCCCAGATCCAGGGTGGTGGGCCTTGGGCTTTGGCCCCACTACATGGGGCAGCAGGGGTCAGACAGGCTTGGACTTCAGTCCCCCCGACCCTGGGGTCCTGTAGTAATTTTTGAGGTCAGAAGGGGGTCGCAGCGCAATATACGTTTGAGAAACCCAAAATTAGAGTATTACTTACAAACATCTTTATGGACAACTCTCCCACTTATCTATTTGCATCTTTCTGTTTTTCAGGGACAATGAGTGAACAGAACCAAATCAAACTGAGGACTGGACAGCTTAGCTGACTGATGCTGGGATACAAACCTTTTACCGTGTACATATTCCTAATTCAAATCCTGCTGAGGTCAGTAGTGAATGAAATTGTTGTACACAGGGGCGGCCCGTCCATATAGGTGAACTAGGCGGTTGCCTAGGGTGCCAAGTTAAATGGGGTGCCAAATGGTGGTGCAATATCATTGAGGGGTTTGGAGGTGGGGGTGCCGATTGCATGATTCGCCTAGGGTGCCAGTTGCTGGCAGCTTGTCTAGGGCCGCCCCTAGTTGTACACTTTGGGCAAGTGTCTCCACCACCACAACTGGCACTAGTTGGTAATCCTATTGGCAGCCTCCTACAGTTCTGAATAAGCTTGGAACTTGAACTAACCTCTCACCCCTTGATCCCACAGGGTCAAGGTGAGGCATATTGGCAGGGCACTGTGTGCTGGACCTGTTCCCACTCACTCGCCCACACCCATCTATCAGGCACTTTTCAGAGGCATCACATTCACACCCCCACAAAAGCTATGTGACCTTTCTGGCCATAAATAAGTCTGTTTCATGCAACAGGGCAGGTTTTACTTTACTTATTTCTTATAGATACAATTAGGATGTTGTACCGGAAGGAAATATTTCAACAGATGGCTCTTGCTTTCCAAGAAAGTGTTTGTAACATACATCTCCGGCACTTCTTGTAGCGTAGCCAAATGAGTATGGCCAGAAACCAAGCCAATGACATTCTAAGAGCAGATTGTTTTAATCAAATATTCTGCTAAAGAGGCAGAAAACCTGATTACCATGTTATCTGCTCTTATCACGCTGGGATTCACTATGATGTGACTGCTGAGTATAATAGGCTTGTGGGGGTCAGGAGAGGAAAGTTACCAAACATAAGAAAAGGTTTTAGAGTTGGGTACTGCCCCAGGGAGGCTGAAAAAAAGATGATTGCGAAAGTGCTCTGTGGGACATGGATTCTTTGCCCACCCTTTGGCACAGGCCTGCTTACTGGGTCGTACAGTAAGTTCATTGGAACTGGCAGAGAGTGTATCTCAGTATTTGTCTGTGTAGCTCCTAGCACAATGCAATACCAAATTCCTGTGATTACTGACACTTACTATGTTTAACAATACCCACAGAAGTTATAGAGAATGACATATTTATCTAAGAGCCATTTAAAATAACCCCTGAAAAATTGTCCAATTCATTGATGAAGTGGGTTTTACCCTGAAAGCTCACGAATCAATATATTTTTGTTAGTCTCTAAGGTACCATAGGAAAGGGCCCTTCCAAAGAGATTCACTTACTGTTCAAGATGTCAAACCATCAGAAGCTCCTTTTTTTTTTTTTTTTTTTAATGGGGACTCAGGAGATCTGAGTCCAGTTCCTGTCTCTGCCACACACTTCCTTGGATGGCCATGGGCAAGTCACTTAATATCTCTGTGTCTCAGTTCCTTGCTGTAAAATTAGGATAAGCAGCCACTTTTTCTCCCATCCCTTGTTTTGTCTATTTTTAGACTGTCAGCTCCTCAGGCCACGGAGTTGGGACTGTCTGTTACCATGTGCAAGTGCAGTGCCTTGTGCATGATAGATGCAATTTAAATAATAAATGATCAGCCTACCTGAGGAGTCAAATTATTACTCACAGTACAGAAGGACAGCAGAATTTTGTCCTGAGATTCTGTGGCAAACCAAAGGCCATTCTAAGGAAGTATTTCCTTTAGTTGCATTGCAGGATTAAACTTGGGTTGATGAGCATGATTCCGCCATGAAACTTCCCTGGGCCTAGTTTTCTTCATTCTTCCAAGGATGTTTTTCAGGAAATGGCAGAAACCTGTTCCAGAAATGACAGACTTTGGAGTCAGTATGTGTGTTGGGGAATAGCGGTGACTGAGGGAGAAGGCCAAAGCCATTCATTATGAGCTCAGGCTTGCTCAGTGGAAGCAGGACCAAAGCTTACACTCAGGTCTATTTACTTTACCATCACTGAATGGTCAAAGGGGGAACCTCGCTACTGGGACATTTTTCAGAGCTCTTGTTTCCAGCTGCCATGTGGTCAGTGCCTCCGCCCATTTGGAAAGCTCCCCCAGTGCTGGAGGGGAGCCAGGGAGGAAGGTTGCTATGTCAAGTATTGGCTTATTTCTAGGAGGAGATTTAGAGAATGAAGAGATGTTCAGCTTTGCCTGATCAAAATGCTTTCACTGGGGGAAGAATTAATAACCTCTGCTGCTGTCTTTCCCATTTCTGTAAGACTCAATCAGTTCCATGATTGATGGTGTGAGTAAATCCCCGGTGGCGCCGGGGTGGGGGCAGCTGCCTGTTAATGAAATGAAAGACAAGGAAGAAGGTGTCTTGCCAGGGCTCATGACTCCCCTATCAACACTGGAAAGTGCGAGTGAGTGGCTTGTTTGGGGTGGTATATTTGCTGACAAAGGTCTATGCAAACAAAAGCCCTTGCAGAACCTAAAGAGAACAGCTGCTCTGTAGCTGGTAAAGGTAAGTGCAGTTTGCAGAGCAAACTCACTCTAATTCAGGCAAATACTGCTACAAGCTGTACCTGGAAAAGAAAACATGTTTACCGGGATGTTAACATGACTGTTATCTAGTAGTGGGAAATGCCTGCCTCTGAGACCAGCTCCCTGAGACAGCACTTCTGCGTTGTTATAGAATGGAAATGGCAGTTCTTGCTGGATAACAGTTCTGGTCCCAGGGAGTCATGGCATCCAGCCTTGTGCTTTAATCTGAGAGCTGTTCAATATCCTCAGCACCCAGGCATTGAAGGGGCTTGGCACTTTGCAGAAGCTTTATGGGCGAAAGCCTGCAACAAATTCAGGGCCTAGATTTGTCAAAAGTGACTTAGGAAGCTACGTGTGAGGTGCCTGACATGGGCCTGATTCCCGGAGATGAGTGCTCAGCGCTTTCTGAAAATCCAGGCCTACTAGAGTGCTTCATAGTGGGCACTCCAAAATCAAGCTCTTCCCCCCTCCCTCCCACCCAAATCAGGAATCACACTTGAAAATTGAGTCCTAAGTGTCACCAGCAAGGTGCTTTCTCACTGTCAGCAACTGCAGCAAAGAGCACTCTGCACCCTACAGGATCCAGCCCGCAGTGAGGAACCAGCTGCATAGGAGTCTGGTTTTCCTTGCTGGAAGGCAGACAGAAAACATTGCAAAGCCTGGTGAGGCAGCCCCATCATGTGGTGGCTAGTGAGGAGGCTGACAGTTGCATTGCATTATCAAGGAGGAGAGCAAGTGAAGCAAGAGAGAGCTGTCTGGACTGTAGAGCAAAGGGACTCCACAGTAAGGCAGAGAGATGTGTCATTACTCAGTGATGATGGAATTTTCATGTCATCCATAGGATCGGGTTCATTTCCTTATTGTCTATTATCTATTCTAAGCGATAGAGATAATCAAAGGGAACTCAGTTCAGCCTGGGGCATATCATTTGCAAACAAAGCCTGGATCTGCCATTCAGATCTGAAAACTGAATGCTCTAGTTGTTTTTACATTGTCTTTATTTTTGAAATCCAAAGTCAACACAATCCAGCAAGTCAACATAACAATACATCCCATGAGGCTATTGAGATTCAGTGAGGGTTTCTGTCCTCCACCCCAGCACAACATGGCATGAGAGTTCCTGGATATTAGAGATTTTGTGGTGTCATCAACTTACTTAGCAGGCAGAGTGGAAAATGCCCTGAAAATCTTATTCCCCAGTAGTGTTGCCATATGAACTGTTAGAAACATTGATGGCATTGGTAGCAGAATTGATGTAAGCCAGGGACAATTACACCTCTTGTTGTTTGCTTGTTTCTTTGCTTCCCCAGGCAAAATAAATGTCTATAGGAGTAAGTCAAAAGGCTCCCATTTCTACAAAGTAGGAGTATGTATCTTGCAGTGGTGAGCTAAAGCAGCACTGTGGTCCTCCTTTAAAAGTAAGGGAAGTGAGCGATGGAGGGAGCAGAGTAGCCCTCTCATGAGTAGTTCTCCCTGGAATGAGTATAGCTGTCTAAGGAATGCCAAACATTTCTATCTGAAAGTGGTTCGTGTATTTAACCTCTAACTCCACTCCAGGGCAGTTAGAGGCTGAATGGGCTTACACAGGTGTGAAGAACAGTTGCTTTTAAAATGTAGGCTGAAGCTGCAGACTAGCTAGTTTGTCACTTGGGCTGCCAGGTTGTTTTGTGTGTGTGTGTTTTTTAACATATAATGCTCCTGAATGAGCTCAGCTCTCAGGCTGGACATTCTGGCCCTCAACACAGACACAGATGTTTAATTCCCAGGCATTGGTAATCAATGGTAAAATCATCCCCTCTGCTCTGCAAATAGAGGGGACTCAGCTCTGGTGGCTCTGGCATGGGAGTGGAGGGAGGAGACAGGAGTCCCATCTCTTCCTGAGGCCCAGAAGAAAACACCTTCAAAGTTGCACCATGGAGCTGTTTGCTTTGGAGGTTTTCACGGAAGGGCTTCCTCAGTACATCCCCCTCCCTTGACATGTGACCGTCCAGCCCTAGTGAATGCTCTTTAAGAGTGTTCACTGATGTGATGTTCCACATGGGGACCCTTTCCAAGGGCCTGACCCAAAACAGATTGAAGTCAGTGGAAAGATGCCTGTTGATTTCAATGGGCAAGTGAATCAGGCTACAAGAAGGAGTTTCCTAAGTCCAAAATGCATCAGCAGCAATCCCTGCAGGAACTGGGCTGACTGGATGGTGGGGGAATGCAGAGCAAGAAGCTCTATGTGAGATGAGAGCTGCTTCCCTGTCTCTTCCATACTCTGTTCTAAGACCTCTTACACAGGGGACAGATGGAAGGATATTCCAGATGAACCTTGTGGAGTTTCTTGGTCCCTCCAAGTCCCTCCCACATGAGTTCTGCAGGAGAGTATAATTTTACCTCTCAATGAGAAAGGTTTAGCCAAAGGAACTGGCATTCTGTCTTACCTCACCTATATCAAGAGCATGGATGAAACCAGAATTACCTCATGATAAATTGAGCAGGGCATAATCTTGGCTATCTCCAAACTTGTTGTAGTAAGACACAGGGGCCAAGAGGTGTGTTGATATTTCAAATCAATACTAGACTCTCAGGGA